TCCATCGTTTTCAATCTGAGCCTTAGCGGAGGCACTTTCCCTCATGCCTTGGGACCAGCACATTGCCCATCAAAGAAGAGTCCCTGCTCAGTGGGAAGAAGCTCCCTGCTTGAGGAAGGAGAATGCACTGTGACCCCTTGAAATGCCCTCCAAACAGGAGGATTGATAGAGGGTAAAGCTGAAGCAGGGCCAGCCCCAGAGCTGGAGCAGGCAGCTCAGTGCCTGAGGCCTAGTGGAAGCTGAGTCAGATACCCAACATGAAGGGGAATGCACTTTGACTACCTGAAATGCCTTCCAACCAGCAGGACTGAGAGAGGGTAAAGCTGGAGCACGGCTAGCCAAAGAGCTGGAGCAGGCAGCTCAGTGCCTGAGACCTAGTGGAACGTGAGTGAGATAACTCAACAGGAAGGAGAATCCACATGTTCTCTGGGCACCTAATCCAGTGCTTCAAGACAGCCTGAGAATCAATCAGTGGTCCAAAGCAGCCCCTGCTCTCTGCTTTTTGCAAGCTGGGCCATGCTCAAAGGCCTGCTCGGCTTGGAGGAGCCCAGAGAACTAGCCACAAGGCAAGGCAGCAGAGAGGAGTGGCTCCAGTGCCCCGTGGGACCTGAACGTCCTGGGGGAAGATGGGCTCCTCTGGAGCAGGAGAAGCAAGGCACCCTGGAGCCAGGCTGAAGAAAAGCTTGTCTGCATTGGCCAGGATTCGAATGTGGGCCAAATGCTTGGAAGGCAGCTGTGCTCTCGACTATACCACCAATGCTCATGGGAGCATTACTGCCTCCTGCTCCTCCACTTGCCAATCTGCCTGCCTCACTCTGTCAGGTCACAAAGTGACCTGTCTACTGCTCCTCCACATAAGCGCCTGGCCAGTCCCTTCCAGTCGTCCTTCCAGTCCCCTGCATGCAAAGGACCTCAAGCTGCTGGGATGTCTGTGTTTGGTCCCTGGGAGTGACATCTTGGATGCGGACACTCTCGCTGCTGGGTGCTGGTAACAGTGCCTCTCTCAGACTACGTTCATTCCTGTACCAGCTCTGCATGTACTATGCATGTGGATGTGCCTTTGTGGCTATGCACCTTTGGTGGTATAATCGCAGACAAAACCCAGCCAGCTGCTCACTTCTTCCCAGACTCTGGGGGATGGATGCAGAGAGCTGAAAACAGGATGGGTCATGACTTTGAAAAACACAGCTTAGCAAAAACTCCTACGGGCAAACCAGGCTTACCTTGGCAGGGGAGTCGGGGCATAGAGGGTGTGGAAATTGCTTCTCTTCTGCTTTGCTGAACCTCCTACTGAGGTGGAGAGGGATCTGGAGTCAGGGACTGCTCTTGGTGGCCTGGGAATACCACCAGGTGAAGCAGAATGGGAAAAGGGAAGCTCTTTCTGTGGACCTTGTCCTTTGGAAACGGGCCCTTCTCTGTGCCTCCCCAAACCCTGCAGACATCTTCCCTGGTCTCTCTTCTGTGCCCCTGCATTTGCTCCTTCTGATTAAAGACTATGTGCAGCATATCTGGAGTCTCGTGGTTGGTTGTTCTCCTCCTCCCTCACTTACCTGCTGTGCAAGGAGAGATCTGCTGTCTCTCATGACAGACAAGCATGGACTACTGCCATGTAGCAGCTGGAGCTGCTACATTAGCTGGAGCTCCCTGAATTGATCGAGGATCAAAAATAAACAAGTTGACAAAGAGAAACAGAAAAGCCCCAGAGAAACTGAGCGAGGAAGAAGCAGTGGACAGAGTTGGATCTGTGGCTACTGCCAGAGGTATTGGTGGTCAAAGACGGGAAAAGGTTGCTCAGGGAGCAGAAGATTCTCCATCTTTGGAGATGTCTAACGTAGAACCAGACAAGGCCAGGAAAAACGTCCCCTGCTTGACCTGGACCTGGACTTTGTGATCTCCACCTCAGGTGTTGCGTGATTTGGTGAGAAACTGCTGGATGCCCCCATGCAGGAACAGCCAACAAGTGCAACAAGTGCACAGAGGGTGCAGGGGCCAATGATCCAGATCAGAGTGCGTGACACAACTGACCCAGCAGCAAAAGCAAGGCTGTCAAGGTGTAAGCATGCTGAGCAAGCCCTGAGGGAGCCAAAACCTTGCTCAAGGTCCCACTGAGATTTGAACTCAGATCGCTGGATTCAGAGTCCAGAGTGCTCACCATTACACCATGGGACCTCTGGGCGTATGCTCCATAGGTCTTTCCCCTGCAGCCACCCTGGCTGAGACATATGCTCCTGGCTCAGCCTGCCAGTCTTTCCATCTCCCTGGCCATCAGTCATCAAGGGCAGCATTCTTTCAGGGACACTGGGCACTTTTCACTCACAGAAGAGGAAGTGGCACAGCATTTTGTGCAAGCCTCGCATACCCTCTCTCAAAAGACACAGGCTGGTATCCCCGGAGAATCTTCCTGTTGCCTGATGAAAACTGCTGAAGACCTTTCCAGCTTAACATCCTCATCACTCATACCTCAAAGCGGACATTCACAGCCCAGTGATCGGTGGTTCAGTGCGTGCACTTGTGGGATCTGCTGGCGTCTTCCCCTTTCAACTCCGCATGCGGGACAGCCTCTCAATCTGCCACTCTAAGTCATGGCCTGTCCTGTTTCTCACTTTGTAGCTCCTACTAAGCAGCCTTTGCCCAGATATCCTTACTCTCAGTTGCACTCCGAGACAAGCTCCTGACCTTGACGAATGAGGCAATCATGACAGGGGACAGCGGACGTGCTTCAACTGCAAGACCAACTAGTAGGAGGACCCAAAGCAGTTTGTTATGGGTTGCACAAGCTGGGCTGCCTTCCTCTGCTGGGACAGTCTAGGCTGACTTCAAACCCTGTCCTTTCTTCCAGGGACACACTGTCCCCTTGCGCCCCAGACTGGCCTCTCCCTCATGGAGAACACTGGTTGCTCTCCTGAGATGGCTCCAGACTCAGGTGCATTTTGCTGTGATCCTGAGCAGAGGCACTTTCCTTCATGCCTTGGGACCAGCACATTGCCCACCAAAGAAGAGTTCGTGCACACAGTGGGAAGAAGCTCCCTGCTTGAGGAAGGAGCATGCACTGTGACTCCCTTAAATGCCTTTCAACCTGCAGGATTTAGAGAAGGGAAAGTGGAATCAGGGCTAGCCCCAGAGCTGGAGCAGGCAGCTCATTGCCTGAGCCCTAGTGGAACTTGAGTGAGATACCCAACGTGAAGAGGAATCCACTGATAAGCAGTTAGACTCCACAACTCGTTAAAGTTGTAATGTAGGTATTCTTTATTCAGCGCTGAGGAGCATGGGGGATCGCTCCTCTAAAACCATGCACACCTTTCCTTTGCCACTCTGTTTGTTTACATTACATATAATGGTTACAGAAACATGAGATTGCTTCACGCCCTATACATATGCAAAACCTATTCCCATCTAGTATTATAATCAGTTTTCTGGCATTTGTCCCATTGATGCGCTTGCGCAGTGCCTCCAGGGCGTGGATTTTAGGGGGTCGTGAGCATGAAGGCCTGTAGTTCTTCTTCATCACCGAGAGTTACCTCCTTCTTTCACGCAGACTCAGTAGGGTTTCGGCTCCTATTGAAACCTCAGGTTCGGTGCAAGCCGGTTTTACGTATCTTAAAGTAGAAACTTGTCAAACTTGAAAATTCTGTTACTGTTATCTTTGGTTCCTTTTCTTTCTATGGATACTATTTAAACAAGAATGTCCTAAATGTTCATTACACAAGTTATGAATCTTATCTACCACAATTCTGCCTAGCAGCTACTACTACAATTCTGCTTCACAGTTCTAGCAATTTTGACTCCTACAGTTCTGCTTCACCAAGCACAATGACTGTTTAAGCAAGCAGGCACAATGTTAACCCTTTATTTCCAGGTATCAGCACGTGTTCTCTGGGCACCTGCTCCAGTGCTTCAAGACAGCCTGAGAATCAATCAGTGGTCCAAAGCAGCCCCTGAATTCTGCTTTTTGCAAGCTGGGCCATGCTCAAAGCCTGGCTGGTCCCTGCTCAGCTTGGAGGAGCCCAGAGAAATAGCCACAAGGCAGGGCTGCAGTGGGGAGTGGCTCCAGAGTCCCATGGGACCTGAACGTCCTAAGGGAAGGTGGGTTCTTCTGGAACAGGAGAAGCAAGGCACCCTGAAGCCAGGCTGAAGAAAAGCTTGTCTGCATTGTCCAGGAATCAAATGTGGGACAAGTGCTTGGAAGGCAGCTGTGCTCTCAATGATACCATCAATGCCCATGGGGCCACGACTGCCTCCTGCTCCCCCACTTGCCAATCTGCCTGCCTCACTCTGCTAGTTCACAGAGTGACCTCTCTACTGCTCCTCCACATCAGTGCGTGGTCAGCCTTCTCCTTCCAATCCCCAGTATGCAAAGGACCTCAAGCTGCTGGGATGTCTGTGTTTGTCCCCTGGGAGTGACATCTTGGATGTGGACACTTTTGCTGCTGGGTGCTAGTAACAGTGCCTCTCTCAGACTACATTCATTCCTTTACCAGCTGTACATGTAGTACGCACGTGGATTTGCCTTTGTGGCTACGCACCTCTGGTGGCATAATCACAGACAAAAGCCAGCCAGCTGCTCACTCCTTCCCAGACTCCGGGGGTCGGATACAGAGAGCTGAAAACAGGATGGGTCATGACTTTGAAAAACACAGCTTAGCAAAAACTCCTACGGGCAAACCAGGCTTACCTTGGCAGGGGAGTCGGGGCATAGAGGGTGTGGAAATCGTTGCAGATTAAAACAGATTCATGTAGTGAGAAACAGAAACACCAACATAAAACACCGTCTTTCCTCACCCCTGTCCAAAGGTCTGTTTTACACATTCACGCCACATTCCTTTCCCTGACTTGTACTCCCACCTTGTGCAGCCCTAGCCTTATTGCTACCTGAGAGCCCAGGGCTGCCCCTGACACCATGCAGCTTGCCATAGCCCGAGAAACCCCTTTTCTCTGTGCCTGGAGCCATTCCTGTCCTGCCCAACACTGCTGGCCAGAGCATGCAGCAGGCAGGCAGAGGAGGGAAAAGCAAAAGGCAGACAGAGAGGGCCAGCACGGGGATGCAGATGTGAGCACGCTAAAGTGTCCTTTCCACTGCCCTTTCCTTCTTTATTCCTGCTGAGAATCTCTCTGAGGTTCTTTCTCCCTTGCAGTGCTTTCCCCAGCCTCGGTGGCATGGCTACAGGGAATCGACCATGTGCCAGCAATGTGGGTTTCTCTCCTCTTTCTGTAGGCTCTTCCTGCATGTGCTTCTCAGAGTTTACTTTTTCCTTTAGCTGCTAAACCACGCAGGCAGGCTACCAGAAGCTCAACCTCTGCCGCTGCTCTAGTAGGGGCAGCTGGGCATGCAACTGAACGAAGACCTCTGGGAAGCCTCTGGCTCTTTTCTGTCCCACCCATCAGGGTCGGTGGAGGCAGGGGATGATGGTCTCCTGATACCACAGCCACCGCCATGTCCTTTTTTGCCAAGTCCACATCTTTCCCAGAACAGGAGGGCACAGATCACACCCACCTCTCATCATCTCACCCTTCAGTTAAATTTGAAAAGCCCCCTTGGAAAAGTTGTTCATTTTTGCCCCTGCTGGGGACTGGTTGGGCAGAATACCCCCATGCCTCCAGCCTCTTAAGTTGTACGCAAGAACCAGCAACAGTTGAGCTCTTTTCACGGCTCATACTCAGCCCAGGTCCATAGTCTTCACCTTAAATGCCTACCTTGTCAATGGGAGCAGAGTTTACCATTCAACCAGGACAAGACCAAGAAGGAAAGGGCTTTAACTGTCTACCTGAGCACCAGGCACACTGTGGAGCTGGAAGCCACTGCAGAAACCTGGTCATTTGGTAGCAGCCCAAAAAGCAGCTGTTCACCGTAGCTGGCAGGATTCGAACCTGCGCGGGGAAACCCCAATGGATTTCTAGTCCATCGCCTTCACCACTCGGCCACAACTACCTGATGCAGCCCTCTTTGCCCCGCTGATCACAGTGCCTGTGCAATGACACCCGGCTGCCGGGGAGTTTCAGGGCAATGCTCCACTTCCAGATTTGTAGCCGGAACTTTCACTGCACGTGTAATGAGTCAAAGACCTCTCTGTGTTATCTCAAGGCATCCTGGAGGCCCTGACTGACCCTGTTCAGGAGCCGGCACTGCAGGGACATCCTGGAACTGGGTGCAACACCGTCCCTGGCAGCTAAGAGCTGAGACAACTTCATGTCGCTTGCAGCTTATGGCCTATGGAACACTGGAGAAAAAGGAGCCTCTCAGAACTGGACTCTCTGTCTGAAGGGGACAAAGCTACTCAAACCTTTTCTAGTTCAACCGTTGCTTAAAGCAAAACAAGCTACAGTCCTTCCTCTGCTGACATTCAGAAAACAATCTGCATGGTGAGGCTGTCTGTGGGATTTGTGTTAGCGCAGTGTTTACAGGCTTCCCTGCACTTCAACCTACAAAAGGACCTCGAGTCCATCTCTCAGAGCAGCTGAGAGCAATTGTGATGACAAAGGCAGAAATGCCTTTGAGGAAGCAGAACTTTTGGAGGATTGAGGCTATGAGCTCTGGCAACGCTGGCTTGCCTGCATCCAGGACACTGTGTCCTCTGAAGTCCACAGCAGCGTGACTCATGTTAGCCTGCAATTCAGGGGTTTTTCCCAACTTCCACATCACAATGACTCCCAGCTGCTCTAGGAGACTGATCCGATGTCCCTTTGTAATTTGAAATGCATGGAACTGGCCACCCCATCCCTGACCCAGAACAATGGGCTGTGAGTTTCCGGCTCCCTTCCCCACACCTCTCCTCAAAAGCATGTCATCCAGGCATCTGGTGTCTGGGACTCCCTTGCTGAGCAAAACAGGTCAATTTGGGTGTGGGTTTCACTCAGGGAAGATCGCGGGCGTCTCTTTCATCACAAAACCAGGCCGCGGTAGAGCCTGATGAACTTAAGCAATGTGCTCGTGGCTATCACTCCTTCCCGCAGAGAATTTCCTCATAGTGCACAATGGTCCTTTCTTGCTGTTGAGGGTACAGAGGTGAGACTGTCCGGCCTGCAGTTCCCCAGGTCTTCCTTTTTTCCTTTTATATATCTGGGGGTGGGGGTGCGTATTTCCCATTTTCCAGCCACTGGGTATCTTACAACTTTGCTATTTGGACGGATAGCGGCTTAGCAACTTCCTCTGACAGTTCCTGCAGGACTCTCGGGTGCATCTCCTCAGTTCCCAAAGGACTGGTGCACTTTCAAGTTCCTGACATGGTCTTGAACTTCCATCTTCTTCATGTTGGTCACAGCCAGGCCTCTCGTTTGGCTCACCTAAAGCGTGGGGCTACAACTTCTTTCACCTTCCTTTGCTGTTCTATGTACCTGAAGAATGCCTTCTAGTTGTTTTTCATGGCCCCAGACAACTTCAGCACCTGCAATGCTTTGGTTTTCCTGATGCCCTCCATAGACGCCCATGACTTTCCCTGTAGTCTGCCCAGGATGTGTATCCCTGCCTTCACTGCCTGTGCATCTTTGGTATGTTTTTAGTTTTGTTTAGTTTGGTTAGGTTTGGTTTGGTTCAGTTTGGCTAAGAGGCCTTGCCTTCCCCAAGCTAGCCTCCTGCTTCCCGTCGGACTTCTTGCATCTTAGGATTTCTAGAGGCTCCAGAAAAACATCTTTCAATATGTCCCAGGTCTCAGCATCCTTTCTCTCTGAGGCCGTTTTCCAAGGGATCGCACACGGTAGCGCCTTAAACAGCCAAGAGCTTGCCTTTCTACAGTGTAGGGTCCTGACTCTACTTTTTACCTACTCTATACCTCTCAAGGCTGAGAATTCTACCAAGAGATGACTGCTGCTGACCAGGCTACCTCCTGTCTTGACCGTTTTCGTAAGTTCTTCTGCACTAGAAAGGAGCAGGTTTAGCTGTGTCTCTCCTGTGGTCGAATTCTCCATCACTTCTACTAGGAAGTCATTCACGACAGACTCCAGTAGTTTCCTGGACTGCTTTTGGTTGGCTGTGTCACTTTGTCAGTAGACGTCTTGGTGGTTGAAGTACCTTGTCAGGATCAGGACCTAAGAAGAGGCGATGCTTCCTAAGGCTTTGCCACAGACAGTTTTTACTGCCCACAAGCTCAGGTAACAAAGGGAGATTGAAAATGACAGATAGCAGACCACTGTCAGGCAGCTCTTTCAAGTGACTTCTCCATAGTTACGCCCCTTGATGACTAAACCGTGCCCTAAGGCTTCTTCCAACCAGGGGCCTGGGCTCAAACTGGGAAGTGGGGAACCTGCTGGAAACAAGGAAATCAGCATTTAGGAGGGTGATCAAAGAGTTGCCGCATCCTTCCTGAAAGAGACACACACGCTCATTCACCTGTTTTGCTCTTTGATGAAACCGGCACCTGAAGCTATGAGCTGTGGTGTGCCTGACACACCTGAGAAAGGGCATCGTCTCCACTGAAGTCCACAGCAGCGGGGCTCATGTTAACCTGCAATTCAGGGGTTTTCCCAACTCTTCCACATCACAAATCGGTGTGGGTCTCACTCAGAGAAGATCGAGGGCATCTCTTTCATCACAAAACTAGGCCGTGGTAGAGCCTGATGAGCATACGCAAGGTGCTCATGGCCATCACTCCTTCCCGCAGAAAAGTTCCTTATGGTGCACAATCATAGAATCATAGAATCATAGAATAGTTAGCGTTGGAAAGGACCTTAAGATCATCTAGTTCCAACCCCCCTGCTGGGGGTAGGGACACCTTACGCTAAATCATATCACCCAAGGCCTCGTCCAACCTGGTCTTGAACACTGCCAGGGATGGAGCATGGTCCTTCCTTGCTGTTGAGATTTGCTGCATCCCTGCAGAGCTGAGTTTCACCTCACGTATGGGTTTGTGCAGTCTTGACCTTCTGATTGAACATACTCAGTGTCTTCTGTGTCCTACAATGACCTGTGGGGAGCATGTGTCTCCGATGTTATCCGTAGTGCCTGACAGGAAAGCACTTGAGGTGAGCTCATAACTGAATTTGACCATGACTGATAGCCACGCTCACCGCTAATAAGGCAAAGGACGGAAACACACTCTAAATATCCTTCTGCACATGCCTGAGACATCTGAGTTGATCGATCTTATGAAGGTGCGGCACAGATAAGTTGTTCTGATATTCAGTGACAGAAAGCGGGAGCACAGTATTTCAGATGAAAGAGGCAAGGGCTTCATCATCAGCGAGTCCTTGGCAAGCAGCAACTACTACGTGTTCAGATGCTTCATGAGCAAGGAATGTTGGTTTCCCCCAGGGCTCTGGAACACAGCATAAAAGCCTGCTCTGCTCCAGGCTCTGCATCTTCCTCTCTTGCTTCCCTTTCCTCTAAGAGCAAGGTAAGCCTGAGACTGCTCTCTCTCTCTCTGTGGGCTGAAGTGCTGTGCTGGTGGCTACTCAGGCTGATATTGGGCTGCCTCTGCTTGGCCCTGCAAGGGAAATAGTCAACCCCTGAGACCTCTGTCTTTTTCATGGAGGTGGCTGGGGGGAGCTGGGAAGAGGAGGGTTTTCCAAGCAGGAAGGATCAGTGGGGCTCAGATGCAGAGATGTCTGCCCACCAGAATTTGCATGTCCATCAGACTGTCTCTAACCAAATGGCCAAGTGCATGCAGTGCTCTCTTCAATGCAGCACTGTTTGCTCTGGAGATGGGCTGTGATCAGTCACTCCACAAGGGCTTTAACTCCAGTGTAATGGGACCTATTACAAAAAGGGCCAGCCTTCCAGTTCCATGCAACCCGCTGGGCCAGGGAGGGCGCTGGAAGTTGTAGAGTCGCTGCGTGTATTTAAAACAAGATCTGCCCACAGAGAGAGATGAAGAAGACAAGGACATGCTAATATTGAGGTTTGTGCTCCCTGCCTGCTCTGTGTTTCAGCTTTGCCTCGCTCACCGAGAGATGTCTTGCTTCAGACCATGTCCCCCACGCCCCTGCGGCACCTCTGGCCCAACGCCACTTGCAAGCAGTTGCAGTGAACCCTGCATCTCCCGCTGCGCTGACTCGACGGTGTTCATTGAGGCCTCCCCAGTGGTGGTGACCCTGCCGGGCCCCATCCTCACCTCTTTCCCGCAGAGCACAGCCGTGGGATCCTCTCTGTCAGCTGCTGTTGGGAGCTCCCTCAGCACTGGCGGGGTTCCCATCTCTTCTGGGGGCTCCCTTGGTCTCGGGGGCTCAGGCCTGTGTCTGCCTCCCCCCCGCTGCAGTCTGAACTGCTGAAGCTGGCGGATCATCCCCTTTGGAGCCGGAAGGAGGACGTGCACCCTGCATGAGCAGGAGCGTGGCCACGGCTTCCAGATGGGCTGCGTGTCCTCTTCCCACCTGGCAGGAGGGTCCTGTGCCCACTGCTCCTCACTGCTGGACGAGCCTCGCACTGCCTTCTCTGTCTCTGCTTTGCTCTGAGCCCCTAAGAGAAAGGGCTCCTTCTCTTCTGCTTTGCTGAACCTCCTACTGAGGTGGAGAGGGATCTGGAGTCAGGGACTGCTCTTGGTGGCCTGGGAATACCACCAGGTGAAGCAGAATGGGAAAAGGGAAGCTCTTTCTGTGGACCTTGTCCTTTGGAAACGGGCCCTTCTCTGTGCCTCCCCAAACCCTGCAGACATCTTCCCTGGTCTCTCTTCTGTGCCCCTGCATTTGCTCCTTCTGATTAAAGACTATGTGCAGCATATCTGGAGTCTCGTGGTTGGTTGTTCTCCTCCTCCCTCACTTACCTGCTGTGCAAGGAGAGATCTGCTGTCTCTCATGACAGACAAGCATGGACTACTGCCATGTTTAGCTGGAGCTCCCTGAATTGATCGAGGATCAAAAATAAACAAGTTGACAAAGAGAAACAGAAAAGCCCCAGAGAAACTGAGCGAGGAAGAAGCAGTGGACAGAGTTGGATCTGTGGCTACTGCCAGAGGTATTGGTGGTCAAAGACGGGAAAAGGTTGCTCAGGGAGTAGAAGATTCTCCATCTTTGGAGATGTCTAACGTAGAACCAGACAAGGCCAGGAAAAACGTCCCCTGCTTGACCTGGACCTGGACTTTGTGATCTCCACCTCAGGTGTTGCGTGATTTGGTGAGAAACTGCTGGATGCCCCCATGCAGGAACAGCCAACAAGTGCAACAAGTGCACAGAGGGTGCAGGGGCCAATGATCCAGATCAGAGTGCGTGACACAACTGACCCAGCAGCAAAAGCAAGGCTGTCAAGGTGTAAGCATGCTGAGCAAGCCCTGAGGGAGCCAAAACCTTGCTCAAGGTCCCACTGAGATTTGAACTCAGATCGCTGGATTCAGAGTCCAGAGTGCTCACCATTACACCATGGGACCTCTGGGCGTATGCTCCATAGGTCTTTCCCCTGCAGCCACCCTGGCTGAGACATATGCTCCTGGCTCAGCCTGCCAGTCTTTCCATCTCCCTGGCCATCAGTCATCAAGGGCAGCATTCTTTCAGGGACACTGGGCACTTTTCACTCACAGAAGAGGAAGTGGCACAGCATTTTGTGCAAGCCTCGCATACCCTCTCTCAAAAGACACAGGCTGGTATCCCCGGAGAATCTTCCTGTTGCCTGATGAAAACTGCTGAAGACCTTTCCAGCTTAACATCCTCATCACTCATACCTCAAAGCGGACATTCACAGCCCAGTGATCGGTGGTTCAGTGCGTGCACTTGTGGGATCTGCTGGCGTCTTCCCCTTTCAACTCCGCATGCGGGACAGCCTCTCAATCTGCCACTCTAAGTCATGGCCTGTCCTGTTTCTCACCTTGTAGCTCCTACTAAGCAGCCTTTGCCCAGATATCCTTACTCTCAGTTGCACTCCGAGACAAGCTCCTGACCTTGACGAATGAGGCAATCATGACAGGGGACAGCGGACGTGCTTCAACTGCAAGACCAACTAGTAGGAGGACCCAAAGCAGTTTGTTATGGGTTGCACAAGCTGGGCTGCCTTCCTCTGCTGGGACAGTCTAGGCTGACTTCAAACCCTGTCCTTTCTTTCAGGGACACACTGTCCCCTTGCGCCCCAGACTGGCCTCTCCCTCATGGAGAACACTGGTTGCTCTCCTGAGATGGCTCCAGACTCAGGTGCATTTTGCTGTGATCCTGAGCAGAGGCACTTTCCTTCATGCCTTGGGACCAGCACATTGCCCACCAAAGAAGAGTTCGTGCACACAGTGGGAAGAAGCTCCCTGCTTGAGGAAGGAGCATGCACTGTGACTCCCTTAAATGCCTTTCAACCTGCAGGATTTAGAGAAGGGAAAGTGGAATCAGGGCTAGCCCCAGAGCTGGAGCAGGCAGCTCATTGCCTGAGCCCTAGTGGAACTTGAGTGAGATACCCAACGTGAAGAGGAATCCACTGATAAGCAGTTAGACTCCACAACTCGTTAAAGTTGTAATGTAGGTATTCTTTATTCAGCGCTGAGGAGCATGGGGGATCGCTCCTCTAAAACCATGCACACCTTTCCTTTGCCACTCTGTTTGTTTACATTACATATAATGGTTACAGAAACATGAGATTGCTTCACGCCCTATACATATGCAAAACCTATTCCCATCTAGTATTATAATCAGTTTTCTGGCATTTGTCCCATTGATGCGCTTGCGCAGTGCCTCCAGGGCGTGGATTTTAGGGGGTCGTGAGCATGAAGGCCTGTAGTTCTTCTTCATCACCGAGAGTTACCTCCTTCTTTCACGCAGACTCAGTAGGGTTTCGGCTCCTATTGAAACCTCAGGTTCGGTGCAAGCCGGTTTTACGTATCTTAAAGTAGAAACTTGTCAAACTTGAAAATTCTGTTACTGTTATCTTTGGTTCCTTTTCTTTCTATGGATACTATTTAAACAAGAATGTCCTAAATGTTCATTACACAAGTTATGAATCTTATCTACCACAATTCTGCCTAGCAGCTACTACTACAATTCTGCTTCACAGTTCTAGCAATTTTGACTCCTACAGTTCTGCTTCACCAAGCACAATGACTGTTTAAGCAAGCAGGCACAATGTTAACCCTTTATTTCCAGGTATCAGCACGTGTTCTCTGGGCACCTGCTCCAGTGCTTCAAGACAGCCTGAGAATCAATCAGTGGTCCAAAGCAGCCCCTGAATTCTGCTTTTTGCAAGCTGGGCCATGCTCAAAGCCTGGCTGGTCCCTGCTCAGCTTGGAGGAGCCCAGAGAAATAGCCACAAGGCAGGGCTGCAGTGGGGAGTGGCTCCAGAGTCCCATGGGACCTGAACGTCCTAAGGGAAGGTGGGTTCTTCTGGAACAGGAGAAGCAAGGCACCCTGAAGCCAGGCTGAAGAAAAGCTTGTCTGCATTGTCCAGGAATCAAATGTGGGACAAGTGCTTGGAAGGCAGCTGTGCTCTCAATGATACCATCAATGCCCATGGGGCCACGACTGCCTCCTGCTCCCCCACTTGCCAATCTGCCTGCCTCACTCTGCTAGTTCACAGAGTGACCTGTCTACTGCTCCTCCACATCAGTGCGTGGTCAGCCTTCTCCTTCCAATCCCCAGTATGCAAAGGACCTCAAGCTGCTGGGATGTCTGTGTTTGTCCCCTGGGAGTGACATCTTGGATGTGGACACTTTTGCTGCTGGGTGCTAGTAACAGTGCCTCTCTCAGACTACATTCATTCCTTTACCAGCTGTACATGTAGTACGCACGTGGATTTGCCTTTGTGGCTACGCACCTCTGGTGGCATAATCACAGACAAAAGCCAGCCAGCTGCTCACTCCTTCCCAGACTCCGGGGGTCGGATACAGAGAGCTGAAAACAGGATGGGTCATGACTTTGAAAAACACAGCTTAGCAAAAACTCCTACGGGCAAACCAGGCTTACCTTGGCAGGGGAGTCGGGGCATAGAGGGTGTGGAAATCGTTGCAGATTAAAACAGATTCATGTAGTGAGAAACAGAAACACCAACATAAAACACCGTCTTTCCTCACCCCTGTCCAAAGGTCTGTTTTACACATTCACGCCACATTCCTTTCCCTGACTTGTACTCCCACCTTGTGCAGCCCTAGCCTTATTGCTACCTGAGAGCCCAGGGCTGCCCCTGACACCATGCAGCTTGCCATAGCCCGAGAAACCCCTTTTCTCTGTGCCTGGAGCCATTCCTGTCCTGCCCAACACTGCTGGCCAGAGCATGCAGCAGGCAGGCAGAGGAGGGAAAAGCAAAAGGCAGACAGAGAGGGCCAGCACGGGGATGCAGATGTGAGCACGCTAAAGTGTCCTTTCCACTGCCCTTTCCTTCTTTATTCCTGCTGAGAATCTCTCTGAGGTTCTTTCTCCCTTGCAGTGCTTTCCCCAGCCTCGGTGGCATGGCTACAGGGAATCGACCATGTGCCAGCAATGTGGGTTTCTCTCCTCTTTCTGTAGGCTCTTCCTGCATGTGCTTCTCAGAGTTTACTTTTTCCTTTAGCTGCTAAACCACGCAGGCAGGCTACCAGAAGCTCAACCTCTGCCGCTGCTCTAGTAGGGGCAGCTGGGCATGCAACTGAATGAAGACCTCTGGGAAGCCTCACCTTAAATGCCTACCTTGTCAATGGAAGCAGAGTTTACCATTCAACCAGGACAAGACCAAGAAGGAAAGGGCTTTAACTGTCTACCTGAGCACCAGGCACACTGTGGAGCTGGAAGCCACTGCAGAAACCTGGTCATTTGGTAGCAGCCCAAAAAGCAGCTGTTCACCGTAGCTGGCAGGATTCGAACCTGCGCGGGGAAACCCCAATGGATTTCTAGTCCATCGCCTTCACCACTCGGCCACAACTACCTGATGCAGATCTCTTTGCCCCGCTGATCACAGTGCCTGTGCAATGACACCTGGCTGCCGGGGAGTTTCAGGGCAATGCTCCACTTCCAGATTTGTAGCCGGGACTTTCACTGCACGTGTAATGAGTCAAAGACCTCTCTGTGTTATCTCAAGGCATCCTGGAGGCCCTGACTAACCCTGTTCAGGAGCCAGCACTGCAGGGACATCCTGGAACTGGGTGCAACACCGTCCCTGGCAGCTAAGAGCTGAGACAACTTCATGTCGCTTGCAGCTTATGGCCTATGGAACACTGGAGAAAAAGGAGCCTCTCAGAACTGGACTCTCTGTCTGAAGGGGACAAAGCTACTCAAACCTTTTCTAGTTCAACCGTTGCTTAAAGCAAAACAAGCTACAGTCCTTCCTCTGCTGACATTCAGAAAACAATCTGCATGGTGAGGCTGTCTGTGGGATTTGTGTTAGCGCAGTGTTTACAGGCTTCCCTGCACTTCAACCTACAAAAGGACCTCGAGTCCATCTCTCAGAGCAGCTGAGAGCAATTGTGATGACAAAGGCAGAAATGCCTTTGAGGAAGCAGAACTTTTGGAGGATTGAGGCTATGAGCTCTGGCAACGCTGGCTTGCCTGCATCCAGGACACTGTGTCCTCTGAAGTCCACAGCAGTGTGACTCATGTTAGCCTGCAATTCAGGGGTTTTTCCCAACTTCCACATCACAATGACTCCCAGCTGCTCTAGGAGACTGATCCGATGTCCCTTTGTAATTTGAAATGCATGGAACTGGCCACCCCATCCCTGACCCAGAACAATGGGCTGTGAGTTTCCGGCTCCCTTCCCCACACCTCTCCTCAAAAGCATGTCATCCAGGCATCTGGTGTCTGGGACTCCCTTGCTGAGCAAAACAGGTCAATTTGGGTGTGGGTTTCACTCAGGGAAGATCGCGGGCGTCTCTTTCATCACAAAACCAGGCCGCGGTAGAGCCTGATGAACTTAAGCAATGTGCTCGTGGCTATCACTCCTTCCCGCAGAGAATTTCCTCATAGTGCACAATGGTCCTTTCTTGCTGTTGAGGGTACAGAGGTGAGACTGTCCGGCCTGCAGTTCCCCAGGTCTTCCTTTTTTCCTTTTATATATCTGGGGGTGGGGGTGCGTATTTCCCATTTTCCAGCCACTGGGTATCTTACAACTTTGCTATTTGGACGGATAGCGGCTTAGCAACTTCCTCTGACAGTTCCTGCAGGACTCTCGGGTGCATCTCCTCAGTTCCCAAAGGACTGGTGCACTTTCAAGTTCCTGACATGGTCTTGAACTTCCATCTTCTTCATGTTGGTCACAG